AGTGGATATTTTTTGTTGTCTTGACAAACCCTGTAGAAAACACACTCTTTCATCTCTCGGACACTTTAATTAGTTTTTGCACTTTTGCATCAGACACTTTATTACAATCACCCCATTTCTCAAAAAAAAAAAAAAAACATAAAAATTGTTCATTTATAAACTGTGCTTGACACAGGTGAGTGGGCTTAACAAACTACCTGTAGAAACATTCTTCTCTCTCTCAATTTTTATATGTTACTTGCTTTCGATAAGTTGATTTTAAATAAAAGTTAACTAATTTCAGATTATTTTAATGTGTCAGATATGTAGTAATTGATTGTGGATTTATATAACCATTGACAAATGAACCATGTGTTTAATTAAAGTGCCGGATGTTGCTCTGTGACTGAATGTGAAGGTGAGCGCAGGTTTTAAGTTTGCTCTTGGCTACTGTTTGGTCTTACTCCGGAAAAGCCAGAGGGCGAGAGCTGATGCAGGAGCACTCAGGTTGTCTGGTGAGAGATTAACCGTGGTGATAGATGGCATTAAAAAACCAAACACAGGAGCCAGAGTCTGCTGTGCTACATTAAAGTTCAATATCCTGTAGAGCTGCACAATACAGAGAAAATAATGTGATTTTGTTGTTCAGTTGATAACAAGATATAACATTTCTCTAGCAAAATGTAACTTATTAACTATTTCTTGAAAAATAGTTGATTTATGTAACGATCACACTAAAATAAATAGGTAAAAGAAAATTTGTTCTGATCTAATTGAATCAGGCAAAAAACTTTATCACGATGCAAATATTTTGGCTATAACTTACTAAAAAGCTTCCCAGACATTTTGATTTGTATTCACTGTTGTCATTTTGCTTGTTTGTTACTACTCCCACCCTTATTTTTTTATTTTCAGCCTTTAGGTTTGAGGCACTAGGCTCACCATTGGGGCCAGTCTAGCCAATAGCATAATTGCACTAAATGGGGAGGCGGGTATAAAGATAATTATGCTCCATTTGATTGGTCAGATTTGCAAAAATATGCAAGACACAACTGCACGGCACATAAATAAATACAACTGATCACATCTCTCTCCAGTATGAATATTTTATGTACTGTTACTGCAATAATGATTTTTTTCTATATATATTGTGCAGCTCTAATGTCCTCCGCCAATTGATAGCTGCATACAGCAGGCACATTCTTTTTTTCTAATTCAGATTATTTTACTTTAAGCTAAATACATCAATGACCCATAAAATATTCTGAATGATTTGAAAGTTGGTAACCATAATTCCAAGTCTTTTGAACGGATTTCATCTCAGTCCACTTCAGATTGGTGTGTTTACAGAATACACAGATTGTTCTATCGCATACACAGTGCTAACTTGTTCTGTACATAGAATTATATTTCATGCAGTTATTAGAGTACATTAGAGTAGCCTTTTCAGTTAAGATTTCATGTTCAGTTCAATGTGTTGCTTGTTTGATTGTTTTTTTTTTGTTTGTAATTTTGTATTTTAAAGTTTTTGCACCAGTTTTGTTCAGCACCCAATTTGACAACTTGTGTGATTAGCTTTTATATATTCATCTTGACAAATATTGATCTCATACTTGATGCAGTGGGTAGCACAATCACCTCACAGCAAGAAGGTCGCTGGTTCGAGGCCCGACTGGGTCAGTTGGCGTTCTTTCCTCCACAGTCTAAAGACATGCGCTACGTGAACTGAATAAACTAAATTGGCCATAGTGTATGTGTGTGAATGCAAGATTGTATGGGTGTTTTCTAGTGATGAGTTGCGACTGGAGGGGCATCCGCTGCGTAAAAACATGCTGGATAAGTTGGCTGTTCATTCCACTGTGGCGACCCCTGAATAATAAAGGGACTAAGCCAAAAAGAATAAATGATCTCATTATAAAAATTAAGGCCATTAGAAGTGCCAATTATGTTGTGTAATTCTGCATAGACCTTCTTTCCTTGACATTTAACTCTTACTTTAAGCTGTGTTGATGCCTGTATGATTTCAAACAGCCAGACATAGCAAACATAAATACCATAGGAAGCAGACGAATCAGATTAATCTGTTTTTTCATCCCCCATACACACAACAGCGATAAGACTCATGTGTATGAGTGTGTACATGTATGTCTGCTCTGCCGAGTTGAACAAGGCTGTTTCTTAAAGTATTCTGCAAACATTTTGAATTGTCACATTTAAACATGTTTATACAGTTGAAGTCAGAATTATTAGCCCCTCTAAATTATTTGTTCCCTGTTTATTTTTTTCTTAATTTCTGTTTAACAGAACTATTTTTTTCAGCACATTTCTAAACATAATAGTTTTAATAACTCATTTCTAATAATTGATTTATTTTATCTTTGCCATGATGACAGTAAATAATATTTGACTTGATATTTTTCAAGACACTTCTATACAGCTTAAAGCAACATTTAAAGGCTTAACTAGGTTAATTAGGTTAACTAGGCAAGTTAGGGTAATTAGGCAAGTCATTGTATAATGATGGTTTGTTCTGTAGACTATAAATAAAAATAGCTTAAAGGGGTCTTTAAAAGGGTGTTTGAAAAAATTAAAAACTGCTTTTATTCTATCTGAAATAAAACAAACAAGACTTTCTCCAGCAGAAAAATATTATCAGACATACAGTGAAAATTTCCTTGCCCTGTTAAACATCATTTGGGAATTAATTAAAAAAGAAAAAAATTCAAAGGGGGACTAATAATTCTGACTTCAACTGCATGTGTGTGTGTGTGTGTGTGTGTACATATATATATATATATATATATATATATATATATATATATATATATATATATATATATATATATATGTATATATACTCTCAGAAATAAAGGTACGTGAGCTGTCACTGGGGTAAGGTACAAATTTGTACCTTAAAGTTCCATATTAATGCCTCAAGGATAAATATTAGTACCTAAAAAGTACAAACGTGTTCCTCTCAAAATTTTTAGGTGCAATACTTTTAAGGTAATAAAATGGACCCTTCAAGTACAAATTTGTACCTTTTATTATTGATAAATTGATACCTTATATGATTGATTAAATATTGATTAAATAAGTACATGTAAAAACTGATTGGACTGAAAATTCAAACAGTGAATGTTCTTTGCACATGTAGTGATCTATAATGGATAATGATGTGATGATGATGGACATAATTGTGTCAGAAACTACTGTTTAGTCATTTTAAACTCCTTCAATTGTCTGAATTGGTGCAGGATAATGCTGCTTTGGACTTTTATTCAGTCAAATTATTATGTTTATGCACAGTTTCACATCTTTTTTTAATAGATGATTCAGTTCTGCTACTATAACATTTCATGAATTCTCAACTTCAAACAGTTACCCTACAGGATTTCTACCTTTCAGTAAACATTAAAAGTGTGTCGAGATATCAAACTATGCAATGTTGTATATAAAAGTATTTTGTAGAGCCCAGCGGTATATACTATACTTTATTTGTGAAATTTTCTATTTAAGACTGAGAAAAAGAGTCAGATTCTTCTGAACATTCAGCTAATGTTGGTTTGAGACATTACAGAATAAATGAATGTATATTTCTTAAATAGATGTTTCAATAAGTTATCAGTAATAAGCATCATAACAAAGTTCTATTATTTCAAGCAGTAAATGGTTTACCACATTTCACACCCATCGGCAATTGTTCATTTGCTGTTGTGAGTCACTCATCCGCAGTGTGATTGCAGATTTGTAGTCTTTGTCTTTATGTGGTCTGGTTGGCCTTCATTTTGGATGATGTTTGCAGATGAAGTCATTAAGCTGTAGTCTTCACAAGTGTGTGTGTGCTGCAAAGTAAGTTACTTTCTCAGATATGCTGGCAGTCTAATGAACAATAAAGATCAACTTCAGTTTGGTCTCTATGTCTGGGCAAGTGGGTAAAGTAGTGATTTAATGTGTTATGCATTAAAAGCATTTTATTTGTGTTATATATCATCATGCATTCATTCATTACATTATTTAGGATACTAAAAACTATTTAAAGTTATTTTAGAGCTAACTTTCCTAACAGGCAAAGATTTGTCAAAATTCTGATAGTGGGATACATTTATATTTAACCATTGCATAGGGACAAATGTTGCCATTGAACAGAATGGGCCAGAAGAATTGTTTGTTTGTTTGTTTGTTTGTTTGTTTGTTTGTTTCAGTTAGTTAGTTAGTTAGTTAGTTAGTTAGTTAGTTGCCTTTGATAGTAATTAGAATGGGCCAGTCGTTTTATTATGTTAATTATTTATACATAATTATTCATAAATTATTTTTATTTATTTGTTTCATTCATTCAATTTTTGTCGGCTTAGTTCCTTTATTAATCCGGGGTCACCACAGCGGAATGAACCGCCAACTTATCCAGCACATTTTTATGAGTGGATGCCCTTCCAGCCGCAACCCATCTCTGGGAAACATTTGTTGTTTGTTTGCTGTGAGGCGACAGCACTACCTACTGCGCCACTGCGTCACTTTTATTTATTTATTGTTTGTTTGTTTGTTTGTATGTATGTTTGTTTGTTTGTTTGTTTGTTTGTTTGTTTGTTTGTTTGTTTGTTTGTTTGGTTGGTTGGTTGGTTGGTTGGTTAGTTGGTTGGTTGTATGGAAAATATCATGCTAGTAGTCCCCACAGGTTTTGTTTTGCTTTGCTTTGCTTCTTTACGTTTGATTTGTTTCGTTTGTTTTGACCATTATTAATGTTTCCTTGTGTGTCTAATGCTGTTAGTTAAACTTAAAACAAACATTCAAAAATGTTCAGCTCAGCATCTCTTTCAAGTTTTTCCTCTCTATGAGTTCAGATTGCAAATTGAATTGGAAGGAAAGTGGGTGTGTGTGGTCAGAGAAAGCCAAAGCATCACTGGCCTCCCCTCTGGACCCCTTAACCAGCTCAGTGCCCCCCTAAAGAATGGTTCAGTGCATTCCGTCAGCCTGGAGACCAGTTCCCCCTTTCACACAGCGGCTTTCAGAGTGACAGCTGCATTTGAATGAGAATCGCTCTTCATTCAACCCATTGCTGGGTGGGGAAACGTTTTTTTCGCTAACTCTGATTGGCTTAAGCCATTCCCTCTGTTTTTGTCCGAAAAGGCCAGTTGTGCCTGTAAAGGTCTTTTTTTACTTAACTTTAAACACTCACACTTTTTTTTCATTACAAACCCTCAGCCTCACACATTTACAACCTTTTTCCCTCCAAGGATTTTCTTTTTCTTAGAAAATCTCTATCCAAAGGATATTTGTGAGCTTGCATGGCTGCGTGAGTACTGTGTTTTTATTGTGTTTTACATATAAGACTTTAGATTAAAAAAAATCCAAGATTATATTGTGCTTGTAGTTGGTCTATGTAGATGCAGGTGATGTGCAAGTCATGCAGGCTTTATCTGCCAGTTTTGACTTTAAATCCTGTTTTTATCCTGTTAATTATTATCTCTGTCTTTTCTTCTTCTTCTTTGCTTTGACAGTGTTCTGATGCGCTCTTTATCTGTGAGGCATCATGATGATGGTCTAGATTTTAGGCACTGTGATGTCTGATTGTACGTCCCATGTGACAGAAAATTATTTTGTTTCAGAACATTTTTGTGGTTTCATCTGTAAATCTTTTTTGATTTAATAAAATTTTGGTTGTAGTCCTTTTATCAGTCTTTAACTTATTTCCATGGCTGTGTCTTGCATGTATTTACTGATGTAAGTAGTTTGTTCAGTGTAGTAGTTGAGTAAGTGTAGAGGGTTTTGTGGCAGCTGTGTGGGAAACAGAGGCTGTGGTATTGTGTGCTGGATCTGACCTGTCACTCCTCTCACCAGCAGCCCGCTGAAGAGCCTGTAGACTGGGGAATGCTCCTCTCTTGAGCTCATCATTCTCACACTCATGCTCACACAAAAAGCTGCCTACACTCTCAGCTTGTAACTTTTTTCTTGTTTTTAATATATGAATTAGGTGGATTTTCTAGTTTAATTGCTTTGTTTGTTATGACTGTTGTGCACTAATATCATATAAATTGTAACCTGTTATATACTTGTATATACAAAAACATTTCTTTAATTTAATTACATAATAACTATTATATGAACTGCTTTAGTAAATCATGGCAGAGATTCAACAAGTTGAAAACATTCCTCAGGGATTTTGGTTCATATTGGCATGATGGCATCTCGCAGTTGGTAGATTTTTGTCAACTGCACACCCATGATGTATATTTCCCCACTAAATTGGGCCAAAATCTCCTGCTGACTATGGAATATATATCATATATATTTATATCAAATATATCAAATCTGAGTAAATAAGATTTCCATCAAATGATTTGTTATACTAAAAGAAGTGCACAGCTTGTTCAAAACATGTCAAACAAGCTTAACGCTTTTCTTGAGATTTTTTTGGGACAACTTAATTGTCTTATGTTCAATTCACTAAAATTTGTTAGGTTAACTTAATCAGTTTATGTTGGGACTACCTGAATAAATTGTAGGAAAGCCTTTTTTACAGTTTAGGGTTGAACAATATTTGACCGAGATACAGTTATTTAAAAATCTGAGGGTTCAAAAATGTTTAAATAATGAGTAAATTGCCTTTAAAGTTGTCCAAATGAGTCAGCAATCTATGTTACTAATCAAAAGGTTACTAAATGCAATTTTGGAAGATCTTTACTTAAAATCTTAATGATTTGTAAAAATAAAAATCTAATTATGAGTCATTCAATGTATTGTTGGCTGTTCCTTTTAATTTTCCAGTGCATCTTAGAACTGATTGTGGTCACATTTGAGTATCGATAAACCACTGATGTAGGCTGTAACATTTAAATGGTGCTCAGCTGATACTAAGCAGCCCAACGTTTGCCAGAGAGACTTCCTCCACACCATTAAACCAACAACAGCCTTAACTGTTGATACCAGGCAGATTAGACCCACATTTATTTTTACAGTCTTCTGTTGTCTACTTTTGTTGAACCTGTGTGGATTGTAGCCTCAGTTTGACAGGACTGTCACTGTTGTGCTCTGCTGTTGTAGCTCAATGTTGGATGTGTTGTGTGGACTTCGTATGCAGTGAATCTTTATTTGAGTTACAGTTGCTTTTCTGCAAGCTAAAACTAATCAGCTTATTTATAGGCAGTGACATTTCAAGAAACCTTGGTTTACAGTGATTTTACTTGATTGATGCGACAAACTGTAAGCACTGTTCTATTCTATTTTATAGCTGCATTGTCTTTACATTTATGGTTGTTTTCTGAATAGCAAAGGTGCATTAAATACCATTTCAAGAGTTCACACTTACTGTAGATATTGCTTGACAACTGTTAGCAGGTTTGGCATGCTGTCCCGGGAGAGAACCCTGAGCTCGGAGATAGTTGAGCCCAGGGCTCCCGCCAGGTCCATAGAGCATGTGAGCGGAGTACGAGATCAGGTGGTTCTCGTGAGCTCCCCTTTTTAAAGCAGGAAAGGAGGAGAAAGGGGGTGGATGGGGGGTTTCTTCGGAAAACGAAGATAAGGGAGTAATATCTAGCTAGGCTATTATAAGTTAGGATAGATCTGATTGGCTAACTAATGAGTGTAGATAGGCGGCCAGCTGCAGTCAATTATATCACGTGTTCCCCTCGAAATTAGTTTAAAAACTTCACTTAAAGGGTTAGTTCATCCAAAAATCACAATTTATTATTAATTTCTCACCTTCATGTACTGTAGTTTTAATTACCTGAGACCTTCTTTCATCTTCAGAAGAGAAATTAAGATATTTTAGATAAATTCTGATAGCGCTTTCATAGACAGAAATATCCATGATATCTTTGTCCAACAAATGTCTTTGTTTAAAACACTAAAAATACTGGCAAAGAGTGAATTTACATTTATATTCAGTATGACTATTATTTTTGTTTTGTATTTGTCATATTTAGCATAATTTTACAAATATTAAAGTCAGATCATAATGCTTTTATTTCACATTTCAGTTTAGACCAGTAACTAATGAACCAATTATTCTTTTTATTGCAGGCCCCTGGAAACCAGCTGCTCATGTTGATTTTATAGCCCATAATGATGGAGAGATATTTCAGTGTTCTGCTTCTTGGTAAGTCAAACAATTTCTGCATGAACTAGAGTTTGGTGCTGATGTCTCTTTACTTTCCAAATATCAGTTAAATAGTTTTAGGTGGGATCATAAAATGACTGATGACAACACCGACAATCCCATGCGATTATCAAAGTCTGAGAAGAGTGAGGCATAAGCTCTTTTAAAAAGTGAAGTTCAAAGGCAGAGACCCCCACCCGGGAGGTCTTTCACAGTAGCTCCCACGAGAGCCCTTTTCAACACAAAACAATCCAGACTTAAGCAAATGAAAACATGACCAACCTGTTACCCCCTCTCTTCTTTAGCATTTGTGCCTGGCCTTTCTGCTTCTGAAGAGCTGTAATCAGAGGCATTGTGTTGCCTTTACTTGCTGCTTTGTGTTTCAGAATGAAAGGTATATGTATTATGAAGAGAAAACGATACACCTGCAGCCAGCACTGAAAAACAAGTGTAGGGAGAACTCTGTTGATGTTTTGCAAATACTTTGATATAACACACAAGGTCTTAGATATTTTGTGGCATTTTTATATGACGTACAAAGGTTTAATGGATAGTTCACCCAAAATGAAAAATTCTAAGCCAGGGGTGCTCAAACTCGGTCACGGATGGCCAGTGTCCTGCTGAGCTTAGCTCCAACATGCCTCAACACACCTGCCTGGAAGTTTCTAGTATACCTAGTAAGAGCTTGATTAGCTGGTCCAGGTGTGTCTAATTGTAGTTGAAGCTAAAATCTGCAGGACACCAGCCCTCCAGGACCGAGTTTGGACACCCCGGTTCTAAACCATTTACCAAACAGTTTTCTTTTACCGGTAAAAACAAAAGAAAATATTCTAAAAAAGGTTCAAATCCATTCCTACTTTGGCAACCATGTGTATGTTATATGAGGGGACGCTGGACAAAGAAGGTGCAGATGCAAATGCAGGTTTATTAACTGGATGGTCAGGCAGGCAACGGTCAACAGGGTCAAAGAGATGTATAAAGGCAATCCAGATCCAGATTTGTAGTCATTAAACAAGCAAATGGTTAGTACAGGCAGCAAGCAACATACACAAACAAACAAGGTGAGGGTCAAAACACAGCAAAGCAAGGCAAGGAAACCGCATCATAATGTTCACAGTAACAGTACAACAAGACTTAGCAAAGATGTATGTGTGTGTGTGTGTGTGTGTGTGTGTGTGTGTGTGTGTGTGTGTGTGTGTGTGTGTGTGTGTGTGTGTGTGTGTGTGTGTGCGCATGCGTGCGTGTGTGCTGTATTTAAAGTACATGTAATCAGTCCCAGACAATCCTCCGGCTGTGAGTGTGTGTAATCAGTAGAATACAGAACAGGTCCATGTGAGTGGTGCATGACTGGACCTTGTAGTCCATTTACCGGCGGATTTGTAGTTCTTTGGGAAACTGCATATTACCCCATATTATTGCAGCCGCTAGGTTGTTAATGATCATAGTGGTGTAACTTTCCAACATTCTTCAAAATAACTTATTTATCCTCTGCCAGATAAAGACTGGTGCATTTTAATTAAATTTTAATTACAAATTTGAAGTATACACGTACACCAAACATGTTCAACCCAAAATACACACACACACAAAACACTGTAAACACTGAGCAAACCAGGACCTAATATATGTATACATGTAAAATGTATATTTATTTATTTAATTCATTTATTTATTATTTATTATGTATTTATTATTTTTTTTGTAAGCAAATGATCCAAGAGTAACCCCTAAAAATGAAACAAGCACTAAAAATAAAAACAAAGGCAAATGTTGATGAAGCTTTTGCATTATACTTTAGATACTATTGACCATGTGTTAAATATACTGAATTATTTATGCATTTTATAACTATTTTGCATTAATTTGATTAATTTGCTTCTAGTCCTGTTGCCAATCCAGGAGGCACTCATTAAAGTCCAGTAAATTTCACTCTCTGATGTTAGTGTTAAAACGAAAGAAAATGAAAGCTTAATAAGAGTTACAGAAGTGGAGAAATAAGAGTGGTTTTCAATAGGGCTCTTCACAGAGAAAGGAATGAGAACAGTGCTGAGGACGGCCATTAGTTTTGACATGGGAGGGAAAGAGAGAGAGAGCGATCAACACGCTCAGTTTGGCCCATTATTCTCATATTAGCACAGCGCAATTATGAATGCATCATTTGTTATTTCATCAGGATCAATCATCAGTCTTTTAGCTAGATGACTGAATCTTTATTCATATCATAAGTACTACTCTTATAAGATTAAATGACTGCAAAAACTGACTTCTGGAAATGGAAAAAAAAAACTTTTTATAATGGCTCTTTTCCAGCAGCCTAGCCAGACAACAAGTTTAGACATCATACTGAAGGTACGCACCCAAAGTGAAGGCTATTCTGAACAAAAGTCATCAAAATTATGTCCATTATATACTTTATCGCAACTGCACCTCAAACAATCTGACATCACGAACTGAGCTGTGTCTGAAATTAAAGAGACAGGAACAGTGGGTCTGCAAAAAATAGTATGTTATATATATATATAGTTGGAATGTCAATGTCATTTTTATCGTTGACATGCAATTACAGCATCCATCAGTCACATAATGAACAGCTCCTCTTCTGTGGCCTCATGGGATAGTAAAGTGACAATCAGATAGTACTTAAAGGGAGAGAGTCTGTGATTTACTCACCCCCAGGCCATTGAAAGTGTATATTACTCATAGATAAAATCTGAGTTATTTTAAAAGATCTATAGCCTTTCCAAGCTGTGCAATGACATCCATCTGATGCACAGGGGAAACAAACACTGGTTAATAACTAAGGGCGGATGGATTGAATGTGAAGTGTCATTATTTTTAATACTATCGATAATATAAGTATCGTTACATCATAAAACAAGGATTTGTAAAAAAATGTTAAGGGGCTTTAATATAAACAACGTTTTTAGGCCATTTCTACATTCTCTCAACATATGCCTGATTGCCATTCTCATAAACATCCAAATGATTATTATTGAAGCTAGAGATTAAAATATGTTAGGCGATCATGATTTTTGAACGCTCACCCTTAATGTTTTCGTAGCGATGCGTCATGTTTGTCACATGATGTGACACACCGCTGTATGACAGATGTATCCCTTTTATTATGGTTTTCCATTTTAATAGAAAATATTCACACACTTGCTCATCATGTCATCAACTACCTGATATTCCAATAAACTCTGCGGAACTCTATGAATCACTTTGGTTTTTATTCTACTGTACAAAAGTTGATTACAATTAAATACACAGTATTTTGGATACCCAAGCTAGGTATTTTACATTAGTTCATTTTCATATTTTTCATATGACACATGTACAAGTTATAGCTCAAATGAAAGCTCTTGCCGGTGCTTATATGGTTCTAGCATTCTTTTTACTGAATTACATTCACATATCAAAAAGTTGCTAAATGAATCGCGGTTTTTCCAAGGCGCAGAAATGAAAACAATACATTTATGATCACTAAGCAACCCCAGATAGCACAGACAGCTGTGTGCTTCAGGGACATGTTTCCTGTTTTTGAGGTGATGTGCATAAGTTATCCTTTTTTATCTCTGATGTGGTCCAAACACAGTGAATAATGTTTGATCAAACAAAAGAATAGTGAAATATGAAAATATTGAGGCTTGAATAGCACCTCTCATCAGTTGGAATACAATAACTTTTGCATAGATTATAGTAGAGACATTTTTCTTTTTTCCTATGATTACAGACATGTGCAGGAACCACCAAAATTAATTACAGCACACTAGACCACACAGAACCTAAAAGGTGCACTTTCAAATTTGAGTTCATAAAAAAAATACAAAAAGCGCCTTTTTAGGTGTTTATTATAACACTGACAACACTACAGATATTTTAAACTCTTTCAATAGTGTTTTATGAAAATTCAAAGGGTTTTCTTTACAATGATAAAAAATTTGCACCTCTGCATGTGGATTTGGGAAGCTTTTAAATTCAGGCGGAAAAATCCAAGCGGAATTCCCAAAATAGCAGCAGAGTTTAACTGGTTAACAAAAACATGTGAGTGTTTTTGTTGCTTAAAAGATGTATAAATGATCTTGATTGGGATCTGTAACGTGAGATGGGCATGACCATGTTTACTTGCTGCTGCATGTTTGCCTCATTCATAAAAGCACAACATGCAGGATTTAGCATGTAAATTCATCAGTTACTCCCAAAATGCATACTAGTAAGTGGCTGGCCAGCTGTGAAGAACAGAGTGAACTTTATTGTTACTTTCACTTCGTGTACCTGATATGAATAATACACACCTGCAAATTATATTTGAATAAATTGTTAGACTTCCATAGACTTTCTTGTATTTTGCAAACTCTAAATGTATTGTTTTACTAGCACTTGTGTGTATTTACATGTCTAAAACATAAAATAAGCATTGGGTGGTTAAAAACACAGCATAATTGTGATAGTATGACACTTAGTTCTCTGGCTCAGCGCCAGCTAACGCAACAAAGCTCAGAATTTTTCACGTCATGCTTGTCAAGCTGGATAACAAGTACACACCAGCACCAGGGATAGTAGGCAGACAGGGACTGTTACGTTCCTCATATCAAAACAGAACAAAAGTAGGATTTTGTAGTGATTTACCCTGCTGTTGCTCCCTTCCTCCTCATTAGACTCCAACATGTTTGCGTTTCAGGTGCTGGATCATTGTTGTGGTGCTCTCATCATCAATTTTGCATATTAGGCCATTAACACACTTTTTTTTGTTTATTTAGTGTGAAATGCTCCCACACCTTGGATAACTAGGGTCGCACAAATTGTTCTGCCTTCGCCGCGTATCTTTCCTCTAACATTACCTCCGCTCGTTTTTTTTGCTCCTTCCTTTCTATGAGGTGCTGAACTCTGCTGGCATCAGTGTGCAGATAAGGCAGAGTGCGTTCACTCCACTCCATGCTTAATGCAAGTTTGTTAATAATTAAACATCTATGTGTTGCGCGACACAACAAATTGATTAT